GTAGCATTTATTTTCCCAACGTCTCTTACCTATCCATATTCTTCTTTACAAGTAGACACTTGTCATGCTGGATCTTTGGAACTGCCGCATCCGAGACGATGGAGCACAATATCTCGCTGATGCCTTAAGAAAGAACACGGTGATTTCAAATCTTCCGTAGTTTTGCTTTTTGATATCCATCATATACTCTGCATACAGACACTCAGAGAACTAGATCTCACTTTGAATTATATCACTAGCAACGGCGCAATGCATTTCGATGATGTATTGCGAAGCAATAAGGTGATTCTTCTCTTTCTGTCCTTATCTATTGCATGTTTATCTTCTATATATGCAGACATTAATCAAGCTGGATATGAGCGGTAATCAAATCGGCTGGCTTCGAAAACATATTCCATGGAAAGATAGCCGAATTCTTTCTTAAACTGATTGTTGTGTTAACATTTTGCAATATTTTATGCTGGACTTTACATTTTTTTATATTTTATTCTGCGTCAATAAGCTTTCTCTTACAATTTTTGTTTCCAAATGTTTGAAAAAACAAGGGGTACCTAAATGTATCATATAGATATCAAGGGTGAGTGTGGGTGTGGATGTGGATGTGGGTGCCCAGTCAGACAAGACTATTTAAAAAATGCGTTAAAACAGGTTAAAGTTTCGTTAAAACGCCGTATTAACGATAGCTCACCGTAAATACGGCATTTTAACAATTTTTTGAACGTGTTTTAACGCGTTACTATATCAAAACGTAAAAATTTGTAGATTTTTCTACAGATTTACGCGTTTTTATCCGTTGAAGGCTCATATTTTACGCGTTTTTGCGCGTATTTTTCTTAACGATTTTTCTTAAATAACACATTCACTTGTTAATTTTGTTTTTTTCTGAAGCAATTACGCAAAATTTAGCAGATTTCGTATTCATAAGATCGAAAGCTTCTGCTTATGTCACTGCAACAAATGGCAATTTTATACTATGAAATGTGAAAATTACAGTATAATTCTTTTTTTCTGAAAAATAACCTGCCAGAAAACTGATCACTCAAACATGTGATATGTTATGAATTATTAACACATGGGTTGTTGGTGTCTTTTTTTGTTCTGTGCCCAATTTTTTAAAGCACATCTTAACTTACTAGGGAACCTTCCACGGTGCGGGAGCGCTTTTCAATCGGGATTTCGTGCATCTTGTAGCCCATAGTGAGCTATGCTTACGGTAAAAAAAGTTCGGGTTTCTGGCTTGTTTCTGAGGAGATATCGAGCTCTTAGTGAATTTTCTCTATTGTACGCCTACATTGGCAGCAAAGCTATACTTTCGAAATTTGACCTGAAACTTTGCCTGCATAAAGGCCTCAGCTAGACTAGTTTGCAAAAAAAATTTTAGAAGTTTTGAATAAATTCTCTCTAAGATATGAAACTATCAAGGTATAGTCCCTTTTTCATCAATAATATATATAGTATGCATTTTTTTCAAAGCTTCATATCTTAGAGAGAATTTATTCAAAACTTCTGAAATTTTTTATGCAAACTAGTCTAGCTGAGACCTTTATGCAGGCAAAGTTTCAGGTCAAAATTCGAAAGTATAGCTTTGCTGCCAACGTAGGCGTACAATAGAGAAAATTCACTAAGAGCTCGATATCTCCTCAGAAACAAACCAGAAACCCGAACTTTTTTTACCGTAAGCACAGCTCACTACGGGCTACAAGATGCACGAAACCTCAATTGAAAAGCGCTCCCGCACCTTGGAAGGTTCCCTAGTTAGTTATTTTAGTTGATAAATGTTTATTTTGCTTTCCTAATTGTCGATGTTCGATTGAATCTAGAATATTCGCTCTACATGTTAGAACAACTGTGTTTTTTAATGAGCGATTATCACGTTTTTGACTATTTCTATCAAGTAATCGAATAGTTGTACCGGAAATATTAAAACTAAAGAAGAAAGCTTGATAATGATGATCGCAATTAAGGAAAAAATATGAATCTGTTCGCATTTTGACTAAAATTATCATGAGTACTATTGCCATTGACAACCAGTCTGCTAAATGTGATACTACTGGAAGAAATATTGATTTTGAAATTGAAATAAATACCATTCAATACTATTCTGAGTTTGACTTTTTGAAATATAATGTGTTTTGTTTTTATCAACATCAGTTTCAGATGACCAATTATTACTGTAGAGAGAAAAAATTTTGAATATCTTTATTTGATCGTTGTTCAAAATGATATTTTTCTATTTATAATAGCGTATTAAATTGAAAATAGTATACGCTCATACTGGAAGATGATATTGCATAGTATGTATAATACATACTACTATTACTATTCGAATTTCGAATTCAATTTTTAAAATTTAATCTGTGTGGTTTTCTAGTTAAATAAGAGTAAAGTATGAATAAAATATTTTCTTTCCAAGACAAAAAAGATTACCGGTACCGGGTTTAGTATAGATATCTTGCTCCAGCTAAAGGAATAACTTAAAAAGCATTCTAATATTTATTAATTGCAGATGATTTTTGTGTCACAATATGAATAAGTCTGTATGCTAATGAGTGTGTTGGAAAACACCTGTAGCTATAATTTCTAGCAAAAATTAGGCATACAATGAGTTTAAAAATCAACCAGTCATTAGTGCTTTTTGTAATCATCCATAAATGACGTTTGGATAAAGGTCTAATTTTATGAGTCCTCTTTTCCATGTAGATTTATCCACTTTCATCGACCCTCCCCTCCCCCCTACTGTACCTTCAATATGAACAAAACTTTTCTGAAAGAGCCTTTTTCTTTGAATATATGATTTCTTTTTTAAATTAAATCACAGCTCTTTACATAGATTTATGAAAAATAGAAATGAGCATATGTGCGTCAAGAAAAACCACAAAACACATGTATCAAAAACAATAAAACAAAAATTTAACAAACTGCAAAGTTTTCTTCTTGAATACATGATTTTATTAACAATATAAACAATAAAAAGAAAAAATGAAGTTCAGAACCGATGACATTCGAAAAAAAGACACAGTTTACATTATCATTTCAAAGAAAACAATTTGCTCACTTAGCATAATCTTTATCTATTTGAATGGCACGTTTATCTACAGCTAAATTAATCAGTTCATTTTCGACATAAAAATACTCTTTAAAACAAAAGAACCTTCAAAATATTTTTGTAAACTTATGCGAAAGAAAATGAAAACATTGATATTGATTGTCTGATCACTCCGAGTTATTTGAGCCTTTTTCTGTCCAGACTTATTCACTCTTGACTTACCTCTGTCCCACTAATTTTGATGTTCTTTATGGATGATACGTTATTCGTGCAATATCTGTTGTTGAAGAATTCATCGGTTGAGTTTCTTTTGAAAAATTCAAGTTCTTGTTTTTCATTTTCGTATTCATAAGTGTTGAGAAGTTCATATGAGATTGTACGAGTGAGAAATAATGAAAAGAAAAAAAATTCAAAAGCATATATCTATTTTTTGATATTGTAGACAGGAAAAAGTCGATAATAAATACAGGGCAATCTAACTGTACTAATCAAGTAGTCTTTAATGAATAAATCGCACTAACAGAGTAAGATTGATTTAGATAAAACAGTTCATTTATTTTATCAGTTATGCTGTCTTTTTATTTATTGACATAGTAAAGAAGTCTTTATGCTTCTTATTATATTTTTCGATGGTTATCCGACTAGACGCAAGACTGTTACACATCAAATTCGAGAGCGTTTCATTTCTTTTTCCACTTCTATTATTTTGTAACTGAATTTGTCATTTCACGTTAGCTGACACTTTCAATGTATCATATGCATAGCAGTCTTTTGCCATAAATATAGTGAAGTTCTACAACAACGTAACTTAAAAATGACATTTTTAATTTGAACGAAGAAGGAAAAATAAAGCTTTACTAAGAGAACATTGAAAGAAAAGCTAAATTTTTATGAGACTGGTTTTCTTAATCTTCGATGTATATACATGTATATATTTCAAGCTTTCTCGAGATTTATTTAAAATCATAAAAAATGTCGAAAACGCTAGTTTTGAATTGCTTTGATATTATCCCACTGTCGTTCTGAGAGAACATGTTAAATCGACAAAAACTGTCTTAAATGATCTGTTTGTTCATGTATAAGTTGAAACATGTTTATCGTTTTCCTCTCGAATCAGCAAAACTGTTAGTTCGAACGAAAAATACACTTTGACATACGAAACAATTCCATTTCATTGAAATTTCACTAGAAAATTCTTTTGTCTTTCTATTTTATAGTCTGGATTTAGTATTGAATTTAACTCAGTTTTTTCTGAAAAAAACCAAAGAACAAAATTGGTGCCACCTATAACAGTAATTTCAATTTTTCTCAGAAATGATTGAACCAAATCCTAAATCAACTTCAGATTAATAAATAGAAAGAAACAATAGAATAGTCTCTAGAAATCTCATCAGAAGATATATTTGGGTATGTGGAAGTTTATATTTTTCTACGAATCACTATATATATATATATAGATAGATAGATGGCTAAGTAGGTAGTTAGATATGCAGGTAGCTAGATCGTTAGATAGTTAGGTAGTAAGGTAGGTGCTGAGATAGATAGATAGTTAGTTAGATAGATGGTGGGGTGTGGGTACACCCACACCCTTCTCGAGATATTCAAAAAATAGCCATACGCACGGACTTTTTGGACGAACTATACTAGTGACTCGTCGACAGGGATGAATAGTCAAAACGCATTCAACTCGGTCTTAGCGACTGTGTATTCATTATATTATATCAGTTATATCTATTGTTTTACCTAAGACAGATACTTGATATACATTGTTTTCTTTTTGGTTATCGGATCCTTGAAAAAAACAAATCCATAAGAGTTTTGATTTATTGATGTCAAATTTTTCATAGATTTTCTTTTATTTTAATATTAAATCTGAAAAATAAAACAATTTGACAACATCTATACATTACTAAATGTGAACATATGAATATGTTGAAAAAAACATATCATCTACTTAGTTGTTATCGTATTCACTTTCTTGTGATATTTCAACTTCATCAACAAACAAAACATGGTTAATTCCCAAACGAGGATTACCTGATGAAACAACTTTTAGATTTGCTTGATGACCTCCAATATCAAAAACGATTTCACCTTCTTCATCTTCAAATGTGGCATCAGCTTCAATGCGTTGACCATTAATCCATAGATCAACTGTAGCTTTTTCTAAAACAATACGATAACCCTTTCTATCTAGTGTTAGTGTCCATGTTCGACTTATTTTCGAACGTTTTTTACTAAATTTTTCTAATGGTTTTCCATCAATGTCTAGTGAATAGTCATAGGCAAAACTGCTAACAACATCAATATTAATTGTACAATGATGTTTAGCAATTGTAAATGCTTCTTTACCAATAAGTTTAAAAAGTCAATTATGAAGAAGAACTTCTTTACTGTCAATGCGAATTACACATTTATCAGACGTTGTATCACTATAAGAAGATAAGAATTAAGGAAATGAGAATTGTAAGTTATTGATTAAATTTGCCGCTCAAACTCTATTTTATGAACACTATCTGAAAGCCGTACTTGCCAACTTCCGACTACGTCACTCATTGCCAAACGAAAAAAATACGAAATATAGTAGCATTCACAGCTATATGGCTTGAACCTATACTCGGATTCATCAACTATTTCGTCACTACGACTACGAATATACTATGGTATAAACGATGTTCCTATTGACCATACTTCTTGTGAAAATCAGAATATATCGAACTATTGAAAATCATTTTTCGCATGTTATATGCAAAGAAATTTAATAGTGTAAACTTTCATAAAACTATTTCCTAAGTATATCCACAAAAAATAGTTCTATGAGTATTTTTCGTCAGCCATTAGAGTACTTTTTAAGTACTCTCCTATAAGTATCTTTACTTGGGGCTTTTTCTAAGTTCCTTTCTCAAATCAAAAAAAAAACTTAGATTAAGCATGATTATTAGCGCAGTAATATACATTTGATAAGTAATAATGACTTTTGTGACGAGTTGAATTTGCTGATCATTTGTAATCATACCTTCACTTCTCATATAAATAAACACTAGACTAACTGGAACAGGAAAATATCTACTCTAGTTTCATTAAAAAAAAAACAATAGGAACGTTTTTTTTTAACTCTACTTGTTCTATTCACTTTAGATTAAGTTTAAGAACTTTATTTATATGCAAATGATCCACTCGAAAAGTTAACATTGCGGTAAAAATGGATGGTCAGTGGATTTAGTAAACTTGTACGTCGCTGTTTATTCAATAATTTTGCATTGACAAATGGATCATTCGAGGTACTTATATACTTGTAATCCATTTGACTTGCTATGCAAGAAACTCATGTATGTTCTCTCAGTGTTGGTTTAGCTAATGTATCTTAATAATGCATGTATCTTAGACCCTTTCTAAAATATTCGGGAATGGAATCCAAAACTGACACTCCTATCACACCCATACTATAAGACCATCATTCTTGCTTTTTTTTGTTAATTATTTTATTTTAAAACTTCTTCAGTCGAAGAAAAGAAAGAGATAAACATGAAAGAATAGAAATAGAATGATAATTAAACAACTTCAGTCAGAAAACCAGAATAAATTGAACGTAGATTGATGGCTTTATGTCAGTTTTGTTGATTATAAATTCATTTGAACATGATCAGTCAGAAAAATGACGAGTATATCGTTGTTCATAAATATGGTTTGCAAGAAAACCGTAGGAAGTAATCATTATTAGTACTTGACAGCGAAGCACATATTTGAAAAGAGGATGTAACTGAGAAATCTTCTCAAGACAGAATCGAGAAGGTGAACAGCGCTTATATTCCGTCATATAAATACTCAACTCTAATATTCTTAAAGAAGGAAGTCGACAAAGCAGGATATTTGCAATTTTGTCGAATTCAACTGTTTCAAGATGTTTCCTACATTGATCGACAGTCAAATGAAATTCACGAAGATTAGGAAAGAGTGACAGAAGATAATCGAATTGACCACTGTGAAATAAAAAGCGTTTGATACGACCAAGTCGAAGATATTTCATCAATGAAAAGCAACGAGTTGTGAAAACAAATCGTGGGATTGGATTGCTACACGAGAAATCAAAATAGATCAAATTAGGAAACATTAATAAAATCTTCTCGAATTCATTTCCATTTTGTTTTCGTATAGTCATTTCACGAAGACTGTGTAATGGAGTAGTCGTCGGTAACGGAATAACGATTGAATCACACTGACCAAAGTGACACATTTCCAAGCGAGAAAATTCACCATTTAATAGTGATCGAACCAATTTAGATGAACTAGCCGGTAAACGTATTGATCGTAATTGAGAACAAATACTAGAACGAATAATATTCTCTATTTCTGGTAGTGGATGAGAATACCAATGGTTATCTGATGATGGATAAGCTTGAAATAATCGATGGCCACCTTTTATCAAGTTCGGTTTGCAAAGAAAGGATAATTCTTTATGACCAATTTCGATCTGGATTGCTTTGAATGAATGAAAGAATGAAAGAACTTGATCCAATTGATGCTTTGTTACACAGATCAAGTTGGGTAGGCATTTGAGAATTTCATTGAGACGATGATTTAAATGAGAGAATGCTAAATAAATTTCAGTAGCTGTGAAATAATCGAAGATTTCGATAAAAATTTCGACAGGTAGATCTTCTAATTGTGTTACCATACAACGATTCATTTTTCTATATTGTTATAAAAGAAATTATCATTGCTATTGCCATTTATAATCAATAAACAAAAGATATATTTCATTGTATCATTGTTTCCTATAAAATCACCAATACGATTGAAGCGCTGAATGTACATAATACAAAAACACATAGATTGGCTTTCGAAAGCGTCACTTTCTTTCATTCGAATAGTCATTTGCTTTTCTAGCCTCTAGACAATCGACTATTTCACTCGGATTGAGAGGCGTCACATATCCCGAAATTGAGATGTTGAAGAAGCAACGCTAGATGCAACAGATGCCAAACTGCTTCTACCATATCACATAAGCATCGTAGTCAAAGCCATCACCCTGAAATAGACAATAGAGCCACGGCACCTTCATTTGCCTGGATATGTAAATCTGACCACATATTTTTGAAGAGTATCGATTTATGATGTTCTCATTCAGAAATAAGTTTCTTTACTCTTTTCTGTGACTACTAGCCAACACAAGAACGAAATCGATCGCCATTATTATGTTGATTACCAGTTTTGGATCAATTCGTTCAACACATCCACACAGTAATAATGAAAATGAAGAGAAAACAATTCTTCATACTTTGTCTAAAGGAAGTCAAATGTTTGAAGAAATCATTGGCCACCCAGTGTCCCCAGTGACAATCAATGAAGTATTACAAATGCGCCTATGACTAATTCAACATGCCAATATCAAGCTAGCACAATCATTTTGGATCGTTCCTTGGGAATGAGCCATCGGTCAACTTTCATCCTACTAATCAGCTGACAATCATGAAAGTGTTTCATCTCAAACCTAAAGTTTGGTCACCACTTATCAAATTCATCATGATTCTTCGAATTTAGTCAATCAAACTCTCTCTGATAAAGCTCATAGCATAAGTTAAGATCCTTCAAAATCCATGGCTGCAAGAAATCAATAGTTTCATTATACACAAATGATCATTTTCACTGAGAAACTAACAAATTTAAAATATGATGTGACCATAGCAATTCTACACCGAGATATTGAATTTTTCAGTAAATTCTCTCTGCAGGATCCTACTCAAACTTTGGAGACATGAAGTCTCTATGACACTAGCTTAACGAAAAGCATTAAGAAGTTTTCGATATTTCTCCGAGTTTGTACAAAAATTTTGAAATTTTTCTATAGCCTAGTCTTATCAAGACCTTCATGTCTACAAAGTTTGAGTGGGATTCTGCAGAGAAAATCCACTGAAAAATTCAATATCTCGGTAAAAATGATCATTGACTCGAACATGGTCAATCTTCTTGATGATCAGTACAAAGAGTTCTATTGTTAGACAAAAATCGAAATTCCTGGTATTGTGGTATCGATAACAGTCCTCGTTCCCCAGCCACCACCACCATCAAGAGTGGCCTAAAACAAAATTTTTATTATTCAGTCAAAGCGTTGAGTCTCATTTAATCAAAGATGATGTTACACTTTTCTTCGAGATCTCGTTTACTTATCAATTCTTCATAAGGAATATTTAAAAGTGTGAATTTTAGATAATCCAATGTGCCGTGTGTATACCATCATTGTGATTCAATTAATAATTCAGGATGATTATCTGTAACACGTATCATTATTCCTGTGCAAACAATTATGGAATTCGAATCGTTAAAGTTCATTATGTATTTTCCTTTATTATCGTCAATTATTTATTTGATTTCGTCATTACTAATGTTGGCATCAATAGTAGCTTGATTGCGAACACATAATGTTTCACATCCTATCTTCTTTATATTAGTTGGATGAACACGACATTCCAAAATCAATTGGATATATTGACCTTTCTTTAAAAGAATCATTCTCAACGAATGATTTAACAAGTTTCACTTCAGCATATCTTGGATTGAGACGCATAAATGATTGATGGACTAGTTTACATTCCTGCATCATGTGCCTGATCTTGTGCTGTTTTAAATCCACTTAACAAAATCGATAATTCATATTTAAATTTTGTACATAATAGCATATATGTGCACCATCCTTTAAATGTCTCTCGAAACTTTTCTGTAACATAAAAAGAATATCTTTTCCATTCAATAGGACAATAATATGGATGAGGACAGCGATCTATTCCATCATTATTAGCACTAGTCCAATAGGTACGACTTATTGCATATGTATGATTTCATTCAGAATTGAATTTGATTTCATAATAATCTGTATGTTTTTTTCTTTAATGATTTAATATCGCCTATAAACTTAAAGACGATTTTTAATTTACCCAATTCCTTTCGTATTTTATCAGTGATTGATTTACATATAAGTTTAATTTGTTGAACATTAAAACTAATTTTCTTGAATATTTCCATTTCTAATATAACACTATCTTTCTGGATATTTTTGAAATATTGATATCATATAAATTAATATTCATTATATTTGCAAATTTTATTTAAAAACATTTGTAAAACAAATTCATTATAATCTTTATCGATAGCGAATTTTAATACTGATGACGTTACTTCACTATTGTTATTCGAAATTTCATCCAATACTGATATGAGAGACATTTTCTTGATTTGATTATATTGTTTACATTCTTTATAATAAGCTTCTTCTTCGACTGATACGGGTTCATTCAAAAGATATTTTTCTTTTTCATATTGTTTTTATGAAATATAAGATCTAAACAAAGTGTCAAAGTAAAAAAAAAATTCTGTCCATCGTGACTATTGGGCATTTGTCAAAGATTAACTAAGAATGAATCACAGCCAGTGATTCACAATAGTATAGTCATACATTATTTTTGATATTTTGTTCCGGTATTAACCGTGTTAAGAACTTTTCTATTCATTCTTCATAATAACTATCTACTATTCGTTGAAAAACGAATAAAATAATGTCATTGAGTCTTAATTATTTTCGATTTTCCTCTCAATTCTCTTTTAGTTTGACTACCAAATATGACAGCTAGATATCTCAATGTGAATGAGTCTCTCGGTATAGTTTATCATCAACCGCTGTTTTTCAAAAAGCATTTTTTTTTGTTGTTCAACTCTCTGTAGACATGTGTAAAATGTTTCAGTATAATAACTAACGCTTAATGTTGTTGAATCGAATACTATAAAGCACGCATATAACCTATTTTGTAATATTGTTCGATCAGGTCTTTACTCTGTAAATTGTTAATTTTCAATGAGTAATATTTGACTATTTATTTTGAATTTATGTTTACTGCAAAAAGCTCTATCTTGAGGGTAAATCAAGAAAATAAACACTAGATATAAAAATTAACGATGATTCATTTGGATAAACGCGAAATATGGCAAATAGTTCAGCTTTTTTGTCTGCAAGGGCACTTTAAGAATCAAGATTTTCCTCTTTTACTCCTGATTTTTATTTTCTTTCTATAGTCCATTTTGTCATCACTAAAATGTAATGTCATATAGGTACATTACGATTAATTAAAAATTTTAGAAGTGAACAAGAATCAAAATTAACATCACTTGAATGAATATTTTGAGAGTTGAGAAAGGTAAAGCATCAATAACATTAAAATCATAATCGATAGAATGAATGTCTACAGGGTGTATCATTGAAGTAGGATCAATATCATCAAAACAATTATAACGTGAATGAAAGTCTTGAGAGTTGAAAAATCAACAAGCATCTAAATTGTCAAAAACGTCTTTAACTGAATGAATTTCCTTAGAGTTAAGAAATCAAATAGGACAAAAAGCACATGAAAAGTAGAATTTATTTAAGTATGTATTGGGAAAGCAGATGTTGATGTACATATCAAAGCTCAAAAACATATGGTAAATTTTCTACAGTTCGTCTCGAATTAAGTATGGTTAAACTTCATAAATAGAAAATTTCCGTCGGGGTACATTTTTGAATGAAATACAGTGAATTCTAGAATTTTGATTGATGTTAAAATTTCTCGAAAGTTCTAATGAAGATAGAGAACTTTTCTAAGAAATGTGATAACGCAAGATTTTTTTATGTGAAATAAGGCGACAGTTCGAGTTAAAAGTGACAATAAAAAATATCTTATAATAAATTGATGACAACGAAAAAAACGCTTCCGTTGTGCTCTTTTCAGATTAATTGAGGTCACATGTTTGTTGAAACAAAACTTTGTTTCTGCGAAAAGCCAAGGAAGAACGTTATTCATTGGACATCTTCAACTAATCGTGAACTTGATCGTTTTTTGTTTGACTCGACAAATAAGCAAAAGCTTCTTGAAGTGAATGAAATTTTTCTTCTTCATCGCTTGATCGAGTGTGGATGTGGATGTCAGTGAAGACAGTGCCTACTCTCACACCCATAAATCGATTTGAATTATATTATGAGACTCTAAATAGTGCTTGATTACTTTTTTAAGAAAGTGTTCCTAGTTCTCGATTGAAAACACCTTAGTATCAGTGCTGGCCCAATCGGAGGGGTCGGAATGTGACCCAGTCTCATAATCTTGAAAAATTTTCATTTATCCCCAGCAGAACTGGACGATTTCAGTTGTTTTTTGCTCACTATTGTCCGAGAAGCCGGTGACTCCCCTAAACTCGTTGAACCTACCTCCTGAGTGGTCGACACGTCCCCCTTCCAATCGTAGTGACCTCGAGCCAGCCCTACACAATATAATTGGCTTTTATTTCAGAAGTTGTAGGATGGGTGCAGGTATGGGTGGGGTATGGATCTTTCTCTCAACGACACCCACATCCACTTTATGGAAAGTTTCAAAGTCATTTAAAAAATGGTTTCGTATACTACTATTGTTTTCAGTGTACGGCCGTGCAGCAAAACTTATACAAGTAATACTAGTATATTTCGACTCAGGAAGTCTTAAAAATCAAACCTTGTTTGGGTATTTTTAATAGCTCATTGAGATCCATCATTTGAGCATATATTCGATTCAAAAGCGACTTGACAGTTAGAGATTTGCCGTCGTGAGTTCTATCATCAATGTATGACTTGTAAAAGCTGCATAACTAGACGTAAATATGAAACGAACCGTTTCTTTTATTGAAACTAAATTGAAACTGAATACAGACAAAAGCCAATACAACAAAAGCACAATATTTGTAAGTTTAGTTTTGAAGTAAAGCATAAAGACAATTATTCATTTTTTGTTGTGATGTTTATTTTTGACGAAATCGACGCTGAACGATTTTTTTAATGTGAATAATAGCTTCATTGAACTGTTTTTGATAGAATTCTGATGGTAGAACAAAGAGAATAAATAAAAGTAATGGTGGAATAAATGAAATAAAGTAACCAGTGAGATATAACCAAGGATTTCGGACTGATTTCATACATTCGGAAACCAGTGAAATGATTAGACGTGGCATGGCAATGATGATTAAAACGAAAGAACTCAATAATCGATGTTTGTGTTGATGAAATTGTTTCCACAGATGTTGTCTGTATGTCTGTTGTTGATGAATTTTCGATTTCTCTCGAGCTATGAAGATAATAACGAATACAATAGAGATAAAATTAATACAGCAAGGTAGAAGAAAATGAAAGAAATTGATAAATGTGACGTAAATTCGTAGAGATGATGAATAACGAACTACACACCATGTTCGTTGTTCTTCTGTGTCTTGAAGTAAATGACGATGAAAAGGATCATAAATATAACTAACCAAGATGAACAGATATATTCCGAAGATCATCCGTTTAGCGGCTTGTTTACTTCTTACTTTATTGAATTTAGTTCTAAATCGAACAATGAATACTTGTTCAACACTTACACATGCATTTAACCATTGCCCAATTGTTGAAAATGCTTTCAAAAACATGTCTATACAAATACAGTTCGATAAAAGAAAAGAATAATTGGTAATTATTGACATTTGAGAAAGAAGCAAGAATAAAAATTTGAGAGCAAATATTGTCATTGTTAGAAAAGATGTTATTGCTGATGCAAGTAGATAAAGACCAGAACCAATTGCAAGTGATCGCTTCGTTTGAAAAGTAATCATCGATAAAAGACCATTGATAATGCCAATAAAAAACATCACTACTGTTAAAGCTGTACTGATTTTTACTACTTTCGGTTGTCGTGAGAAAGGAATATTAGGCCAAATATTATAACCAAGAATATCATCAAGTGATAGGCCAAATCCTGTTGTAGTAAATTGACATCGACTACCATAATAACATTCTTTGCAAAAACATGACGATGATGTTGGACAAGTGCTATTGTCTATATGACATTGACCATCATTTTCACAATAATTATATCCAAAACATTTGTAAAGAGGACGATAGTCAAATTTGAAACAATTTGCATTTCGATCAATGTCACATAGACACATGAAAAAATCATTATCATAGAAACATACCAAATTTGAATGTTTTTGACATGGAATATGATAATGTTTTGCACGATGCCATCGTGGCAAGATTGGAATATTATCAGTGAATAGGTCTTTGATTGATAAACAACGATGTTCAGGAATAATTGTCGTAGAAATATTGATTCCTAATGTAGAATTATGTCGAAGTAGAGCAAGATAATAATGTTGATGAATTTTTACAAAAATTATATGAAATTCTCCTCCAAAATAAACAAAAGAAGAACTTTCGTAAAACTTTAATTTTGAAACCATGATTATCTGTGGTGGATCAGCAGGTGGTGAAGAATATGACTTAGATATTGATGGGATATAGATAAAATAAATAAACATCGTTTGTGGAATCGATATAGTTTTAGCAAAAAGAAATTCAATTTTTGTCTCGGGATTTTCACATCTTGAACCCATGTAACCTTGAGAACAAAGGCAATAATATTCCGTTTCGGAATATGTTTCATCATTAGCAATGCATCGACTACTATTAGAACATAGATTCGAGATGCATCCCGTTCTTTTCAAATAACAACGTGGTCCAAATTTATCAAGAGGACAAATACAAATCGATCGATTGTTCACAATTCCAACATATATCGAATCTGGTGAACAATCACATGAATTCTTTATTGTACATAACATTCCAGAATAGCCATTCAAACATTGGCAGAAGTATTTATCGAAATTTGAAAAATATCTACATTGTCCATGTAAACATTTCAAAAGACATTTTTTCGATACGGTGGCAACATCTCGTATAGGAACATCGACTAGTAGTGCAAGACGATGTACTGGTAAGAATGAATATCGAATAGGATAGAACATAGTATCATAATACTCCATTTTTTCTTTATTGTAAATATCAATACGTACATAGTAAGTTTGATTGACATATTTTGGTTGTGTTGAATAAAGAAGATAGAAATTGAATTTTTTTCGACAATCACGTAAGGACACATAATCATATTGTTCCGAAGAATGAATATTTGTATTTTCGTCAACAAGCATGATAACAAAAGTGAATACCGTTCGCCATTCAACTGTTCGAAACTGTAATACGAGACTAACTCGTTGATTTTGATATTCACATCGATATCCAAAATAGGCTGGCGGACATAAACAATAGTTTTCTGTGAAATTATTTACATAGATAAGAATTCCACGTTTACAAATTTTACTTAGTCGATGATCTATCAATTTCGAATTATCGTTGATATTAAATTGATTAGTAGGAAAAATGTACGCAGTTGTTGTTGTTGTGCTAGAATCGTCTTTGCTAGTAATTGTCTCAATAGAAGGATACTGGAAATGATTTGTCAGTGTCAAATGAACAATCTTATTTCTGTATAGACTCGAATACAAATGTTGTAGATAGAAGTTTCGATCATAATTGTATAATAGTTGAGAACTAGCGTCAGCATTTGTCCTATTTGATGAATTTGAGACTTCTGTACACCATAGGCTTTGGTCAACATTCGATGAACAGTGGTTTTTGTTTTTATCACAAATATTACGCATAGAAATGCACTGTGTTTCATTAAAGCAGCGATAGCTTATAGTCATCTTTGATCTCAAAGTTGATCCACAACGATCGCGTTCGTCATAACCACCTATACAATCAATGTGACCATCATTGACTCGCGAGAGCGGTAAACAAGTCAAATTGTGACTAAGTGGTAATATACAAGGATGACCATCTGGACGACATGGATTATAAGAACAATTAGCTTCATCGGCTCCATTGCGACAATTCCAAACATTATTACATCGCGTATATACATTGTTACAAGACCACTGTTCACAGTCCATTTCATCTGTGTAGTTAAGACCATCAATGCTTTCATAGTCGACGAAACCATCACAGATTAATAAGAATGAGAGATGAAAATACCTTGAATTCGCACCAACTACCTGCGGGTTTCTATCTTCTCCATCGGCACACATCGGTAATTCGCTATTAGTTATAGTCATAGGAATGCACTTGTGTTCCGAAGTGCATCCAAAACGATAGTCGACATCGGCCAATTCGCAACTATTTGTGATTTGTTCGTCATCATTTTGAAAACAATCAGTAAAACCATCAAGAAGTCTATTCAACGCAATGCATTTCGATGAATTTGCACATCGATATGGTTTTGACTTTGGACACTCACCAAAACCAGTCTTTGTGTTCGAACATTTGAGAAAAAAGAGGAGTATGGGGTACACGATGGAATCCATTTCTATAAATTCGTTACTGATGTTGAGTTCAGAGAAACGTCGACAAGTTAAGCCATTTATGATTATAGTCGCCGGAAGCCATTGGCAGAGTTCTTGATCGTAACATACATAATGAGGTAAAAGATCACCCAACTCGTATTCATTTGGTAGATTATTCGCATAGGCAAAGCGAACATGACTCAACACTATCGGGTAAGCAGGAAAGAAAACAATTGACGAACAGTTTTCTCGAAATAGTTTTTCATGCTCAAGTTGCTCTCCACATTTGACTTGATTGACGAAATTTTCCGAACAAAAACTTGAGAATGCCAAACAAATCAAGTTTGTCCAACAATTAAACGATAAATTAGGATTGGCATTTCGAGATAATATCGCTTTCAATAATTGAACGTTACGATCATTCCTGCAGGCCTGCATACTGCATTGACCATCACCACACGATAACATACGTTCGTTTCGACATGTTGTCTCTTCACAGAAGAACGTCGGATTCGAATAACAGTCCCTTTTACCAAAATTGCTAGATTCTTTCTGATCATATTTTTCATCCGAACGATCGATGCAATCTGGAGTCAAGGGATCATCATTGAAAAGTTCTTTCGGAATACAAAATCCATTGCTACAACGGAACTCGTCCTCTTCACATTCATTTAAGTCTAGCTTCTCACAATCAATTTCATCTCGACCATCATTCAAACAGTCAATTTTTCCATCGCATATTTCACGCCAATCGAGACAAGATGGTGATGGACCCCGATTACATTCTATGAATGTATAACATGTTTCGGCCGTAAATGAGTTACCAGCTTGTAGCTTAATATCAGAGAAATAATTCCGTACAATCTTGTCGAATGACCATGTCAAATTAAATGAATATTGACAATATTCACCAAACCATGGTTTTGAACAATTGTTAAATACTTGTGTTGATAAAGATGAATGTGAACTTTCGAGGAATGCTTGATATCGTTCAACAACATCAATTGATGCAGATAATAAATATAATTGTTGACTCGTTATATTTTCTCTTCGTAATGTTTCGAATGTAATTGATATTCCATGAATGACATGTTTTTCGTTATTGACCAATAGATTGGATGATAAACCAAAGAACCGTATACAGTAAGGAACTATTTGATATGGATAAGGTATTTTGCGTTCAGGATCCATAGTATTTTGAATTACAGAAAATTCATTATATAACAAACAGTCATGATACAACGAATTGTTGCTGATGTGATCTGTATGATAGAGATGAAAATTAAGCTTCGTCACTGATACTTGCAAAATGAGCAAGTGCAGAACTAAAAACCAGTTGAACATTCTATTTAGTATTATATTAGACTTGTGTGGATCTAATTCGAATCACACTGGAATTGTTATTTGTCCTCACACTCTCTATATAATCGCGTATGATATATAGGTGTACAAAATAAAAAAACTGCGCTCTTATGTCATAGTCAGGTATCTAACATCGATCATTAATCAGAAGCATGTAAAATTATAATGCTGTCAGCATGCAATATCAATCTATCATAATTTTGATAATGACGCAGATACGCGCTATTAATCATTTAATAAAAACAAGAAAAACACGTAGCTTTATTTTTCTTTCATTTTATATTGAACGTTTAAAATATCGGAGAATAAATGACATACGTTTGTCTTACATGGAAGAGATATCTGGTCAATGGAAAAAATCTCCCATCATAGCTGCCAATTTTACTATGATATCGAATTTGATGAATCAAAAACGGTTGCCTTGTTAGTAATTGACAGTTTCTGTCGATTAGTGCTTTTTTTTGTATTATTCATATATATTATGGTCTTTTTAACTGATTCGTGCATAGTATCAATGTCAAAAAAAGCATTAAATCAGATATGTTTGAAGTGGTTCACGAGCGAATAGATTTTCATTCAAACTTTTGAGTAGTTCTATTTCGAATGGTAGCGTTGGAATAATTTTGTGAGTCATCCATATGTAGAGTTTGATATTCTAAGACTAGAAATTTTCATATCACTGTTTTTCTGCTGTCTTTGTTTGCTGATTATTCAATATGACTTGTGTGCCGTAATTGAAACATTGTATGTATTTATGAATGATAGATGAAAGCATGTAAAATGACAATGAAACTATTTTATTTCGATAATTCACATATGTTATTTACAAAACTGAATATTTTCTGGCATTATACAAATTCCATTAGAGGGCGATAAATGAGCCTCATCAATAAGAGACAATTGTGGTTTTTGCACATTTAAACACGTCTGCCAAGTTCTATGTTACTGAAAGGAGTTTTCGACCCACTTATTTTCAATCCCATAGAGATAGTACTGAAAGCTATCTTGTTTCAGAAGGAATTTCGTCATCGCCATCAATCAAACATTCAAATTTTGAATTAATGCTTAGAACCGTCTTTGACTAGACCCTATTAGCAGATTTTCTGAAACGCAAAATGTCTGTCCCACCATTCATCATTACATGAATAGAGTCAAATCGACGATTGTCAGAATAAATCTGGTTCATACACATACAAAATTAAAGCAAGGAAGAAAAACAAGAAGAGAACAAGACAGATGAAGATTGAGAATATACAACAACACATACAAGAACTAATACCATTACCAGAAAGATGACGATGAATGCCTACAATAATAGAAAACTTTATGCTCTTAAATGATAACGACGAGGCAATAGTTTCTGTCACACATGATTTGATTAAGAAATATGAATATCATTTCTCATTTCTGATGATCAAATCCTTCTTCGTACTAGTACCACTTGTAACTTGTGTACGAGATGTTAATTTATATTTACTTTCAATGAAATTAATGCGTAAATTAAATCATGTTACTTTGTTTGGAACTTCATGAGTGTGGATGTGGGTGAGTGAGAAGAAGACCCACACCCTTCATCCGTTTTTGACGTTTTAGTCAAAAATCTATCTTCTTTCTAATCCATGAATAGTACAAAATCAGTTTTATCGTTCTTGTATGTCAGTCGTACTCACACAACAAATTTACATTAGTGCAACATCCACCTATTTTTCAGTCAAAAACTGCAACAGGAAAAGTCATACTTTTTGATTGAATGTGACCCTCTCGTTTGGGGAAATTTCAAATGATTTCAATCTTCAACTATTACAAGTGTAAGATGATAAAGGGTCTAGGAATAAGTCTGCTTAATATTGAGAAAAGCGTCACATCAAAACTGTCTACCTTATCTTGATACTAAAATATTTAATTTAAAAGGATCAGATAAAGGATATGATAAACGTTTTATTTCAATGAGATAAAGCAAGTGATCAACTAACAATAATGAATAACGAAGATGATTTAACGAATAATGAAAAATGAAAGAATGAAAAAAAAAGAGAAAAAAACAAGGTCATACGTAGATTACGAAAAAAGGAAAATAAAAAACGCAATAGGAAAAGGAATGACGCAAAAGCAGAAGGTCATCATGTTCCCATGATGATCAACAAGATAGCAGGACAAGACACATCAAAGAGAAAAGGAAAGAAACTTCATGTACAATAGAAATGAGTTAGAGTATGAGTGCCGGTGTTATCTTTCTCACATGGTTATGTGTCCACACACAATTTGAGAATGATGAACGTATTTTTGTGCCAGTACAAAGAAATAAAAGCATGAGACAGTATGATTACTAAAACAAATATGAGTGTAGCATTTCGATAAAATAGAGAAATAAAAATGTTAACTAAAAGAAAACTCAGTCTGCAAAAGACTATTGATTTATAAGACAAGAATAAAAGAAGAATATTGCAATGGTTTAACTTCGCAGTGAAAAAGATAGACAATTGATTTGAATTTAGACTAAACACATAAAGTAGAATGTTGCAACGCACGATTGTAAAGATTTTTGTCGAAGTCAATGTCGAAGGTACATGAGTAAAACTATCAAGTATTTTTACTCTTGCATAATGGCAACTTTATTCTTCACATATCAAGTAATGAACTAAAATACACTACTTTATAGCTTTATAAATAAGTTTCGAAAGAAACAAATCATCAGAGAGATGTTCACAGTAAGATGTAGCACAAAGAAGTATATATGGTAGTCCAAAACATTTTCAGAGTTTCTTGGAGTCGAGATTGAAGTTGAATTTCAAAGTCAAGGAGTTTGATTCTCCATGGTCCTTATTTAATAACTTACTATTATGAGTTACTTTTCGAACACATCAAGTAAATCGATATTGATCGATTTGACGCTTATTACTCAAATTTTAGAAAAAAATAACAAATTCGCTTTTGATATAGCAACGATTTATAAAAGTAATAAAGGCATAAGAAATAAGCCACTTATAGAACGAATGTTCTAAATAACAACTAATGCGAGAAAACAGAGAACATTATCCAAGTCAAATATGAAAATATAAGTAGTTGTTCTGAAATGATAGCATTGATTTTTCCTAAATTTTTAGATTCCGTCTTCTCCTGTTGCATCATTTACTCGACTACAATTTCATAGCAACTTGCTGATGATCATCCGTCTAAATCCTACAATTACTGTCATAGTAATAACATAATATTTGAGCAACTCTAATTACAGTACATGTCAGTTGACATCAAACGTAAGTAGGCAAGGATAAAGAGAAAATATGCAAAAAAACAATGGTTATTTAGAGATGACGAAAGAGACCTTACTGAATAACATAATATGATAGAAAAGAGAACAAAATATAAGATACGACGCTTTCATATGAAAAAAAAGCAGGATACTATTTATTGATTTTTCGCTATGTTCAAATATTCAATAGTAGTAAGAAATGCAATCTTAATCCGTTTATCTTGTTTCTTATTTAGTTTTTTTTCTGTGCTACACAATGACTTGTATTAAATATAACTAGATGATAAATGTATTTCGATATAGCATGTAAGTACCATTTTTTGTTGATAGGTTTACGAATAATAGAAAATAATATAGAAACATTTCTGCTCAAAAATTTCTTGTTATTAAATTCTTTTTAAAAATCTTTAACTTTAATTAATTTTCAAAAATAAAATTATCAAAAAGTAGAAAAATCTAAAATTAATATATCATAAACTATTAATATAATCATATGTCAAACAATTTTTCTCGAATTTTTCATATTAAACAAGTAGTTCAGTTATGCTTTAATCATTATCAATCTACTTAAATGAATATTTTTTTTCATGATTCATTAAAGCTAGAAATGACCGTTAAAATAACACAAAAAAGGGCGAAATATTGGTTTTTTATATTTGTAAAAAAAAATATATTCAAATTAATCTTTATTAAAAAAAAGAGATACATCACATGTAATAAAAATATATTCTCAGTTGTTTTTTTAATATTCTCATTCATTTTGTAAGAAGATTAAATCTTTTTTTTTTTTCGTGAAAATACTGTTCTAATTCTATTTCATTTTAGTTTTGAATATTCAATTTTTGATAAACATATTGTCTACATTATATATTCAACAATCATATTGTGCATATCTTTCATATATGTACTTTTCGGCTATTTTACTATCATGTCTCATGTACAGCAGCAACATGTGGCAAGCATATTAATTATCATAGAAAAGAAGAATCAATGCATAAGAGTAAAGTACAACTTGTCAACTTGTTTTTGATACTTTCTACATCATCTTGACAATTATAATGTTAATAGGTTACTATAGC